ACCACATAAAAGTCAAACAGCTTTTTGCTATTCCTGTGTCTCAAACATGGCACACCAATGCTTTATCTGGCAAGTCCAACTATAGAGAGACAAGGCTGTGCTCTGGGACCCACAGTCCCCATGCAAAGAGTCTGAGCCCTCCTTCCTCCCCTGCTACTCCTAAAAATCTCACCCCAATCCCTGAACACCTAGTGCACAAAAGGCAGGATGAGATCTAGAATTTTATACCCAGCTAAGCTAAAAGGGAACTAGACAGTGGAAGTGGTTCAAAACAAAGGGAAAGGTCATGTTATGTTTCTTAGCCACCAAAAGAGTAGAAGTGTAACAAGGAGTGAGCCAAGACAAAGGAGGAGCTGGCATACAGGGGCCAACACAAAGATAGTTCACACCATCCCAGGTGACAGCTCTGTGCAGGTCTAGAGACCCCAGAACAGACTGGAACAGGAAGGGTCTCCCAGCATCAACATCCAAGGAGTAGACTAACATAGGGACAAAATGAAAACCTGTTCTGATCCACAGGTGGCAGCAAGATCAACCCACAGCTGTATGACAGGAGCTATGCTCCAAGGACCCTGCTCAGCTCAGAGACAGTGCTGGTTTGGTAACCAAGAGGCCACGCAATTAAGATGGGACATGGAAGAGGCTGGTGGGCAGAATCCTAAAGACTCCACCCACCATTGACAGGACTAAAAAGAGAATGTGTCAAACAAATTCTAAAAGGTCCAGACACAATAGACATCTGAGAAAACAGGACACCTATGGTGGTCCCTCTGGGGCTGAGCAAGTGGCACAGAATGCCACTGTTTGGACTTCAACCATAGTTAGTCCCCAGCAGGCATCCTGGGAAGAAAGTGAAGGTTACAGCTCAGGTACACATGGAAGATGGGTAAAATATATGCATGAAGCACAGTGTGTGTGCATGTGTGACTGTGTGAACAAGGAGAAAGCTTGGGAAGGCAGCACATCAGGAGTCCCTGACTACAGGGCTGGGGCAGCCAGACCACAAGAAGAAATACCAGACAGAAAGGTCAAACTACATGCTCCGCTTTTGTTTAATCCCAGCCCTGTAAAGACACGAAGTTGGGTCCCTAAAGCAAGGTTCCTGCCTAGAGCCTGTGAAGGCTCCATGGGGGAGGCTGGTGACCCCTGACAAGTCCCTGTGCACATGCATATTTGAGCTTGTTTGCTCCTTTGGTGTGGGGCTTGAGGATTTGGGTTTTCTTGTGAGAGAGAAGGTCTCACTACGTAGCCCAGGCTGGCATCAAGCTCACCATCCTAACAATCTCCTGAGTGCTAGGATTACAGGTGAATGGCATCACACCCAGTTGAATATATCTCTGACTAGAACTTGTCATTTTCACTGGATTGCCAAAGAACCACCACCTCCATAAAGAGCACAGGACTGCAGCCTCACAACTGGGCATGCACCCAGAAGACACCCACAGCAGGGCAGTGAGACCACCAGCTCGTCCAGACTTAGGTGTTCAGGGCCATTAGACAGACCTATCTGTTCCATCATGGAAAAGGTGCAGGACACAGCTGCTCCTCAGCAAGAAGGGGAAAAACAGTAATTTCCAAAAAAAAAAGTCAGGACCCCCGGGGTGGGCCGAAGCCCTTGGACTGTGACTGCACCATCTAACACCGGAGGCTTTCCAGATGTAAGCTGAGGACACTGAACCTCCTGGCAACCCTAAATGCAATCCCAGTGTCTCACAGACCAAGGCAGAGTGCCTGAGACATAAGAGAGGGTCATGTGTCACTGGAACCACTACTGACTGGCCTGCACCACTGATGGGAAAAGGGGATGCTCCCTGAGTCCTGAGGACGTGTGGCCAGTGACAGACACTGCAGACTTCTGCGGTTCTGAAACACTAAATTTGAAGTACTTTGCTGTAAGTCAGTAGAAAATTACAGCAAGTGCTAACTAGCAAGTCAGTGTTTACAAGATTTCCACCAAATTCACAAGGAAAACATGAAGGTGCAGCTACACCACACTGTGCACCTGCTGCCAGGGCAACAGTGAGCGCACAACTACCACAGCTCTCCCTCACAAGGACTGGCGTGCTGGCCTGTCTCCGATAAAGACAGATGCCAAGTGACCACAGGGTCAGAAAGGCAGGCCTCAGCCTTCTGCTGGCAGCAGCCAACGGCGCAGCTCACGCTCTGCTCCCTCCATCATCAAGAACTGGACAGCAGTTTCAACCTCCTGCTGTCCTCTACCTCAAAGGTCCCTTCTTAAGGCAGCTGCCAGCTTGCTGGGCTCAGTATCACCTCTGTGACCACCCTGTCCCACCCTCCTCTGCCTGGCTCTCTGAGGCCTTTGCTTTAAACATAAGGCACAAAGTCAGTCAGCCCTTGACCCGGAGTGCCACATAGGACCACGAAGTGCCTCCTGTCACCTGCTGGCCCTCCCAGATGCACTGCAATCTGGTCCCCTCAGCACTAGTCCCTGCCTTCTCCTGACCCCTGCAAAGGTTGGCATGCCATACGCTACCCTAAGTCTGAGGACCTTTCCTCAGCTCTGGCCTTTGCTGACCTGGTTTGCCAGTTTTCCTACCTGTCGTCTTCCCTGTTAGAGGCGACCCAACCCCTCCTCAGTCACCAGAGGGTAGGTTCCAAGATGCTTCACAGATATGGCCTTGCCAATGACCCCTGCACACCTGCTCCCTGCCCTGAGGAGACAGACAACACTTGGCTTTCCCTTCCCAGAGCCTTGCCTCCCTAAGCCATGCTCCATGGCCCATGTGCCCTTCTCTGTCTCAACAGTGTTCCTGAAGCCCAGATCCTGTGATCCTGGCTGAGTATTTGGTATGTGCTGTCCAGCCCCAAATCACAGGGAAGGTGTGCACTTCTATTCCAATTTTCTGGGGAAGAAACTTCCTTCACAGGACAACGTGTTTCCTTTAGAAACTTTTTAACCTTAAGCACAGTCTCTGTGATTCAAAACTGGATGTGCTCCCCTCTGGCCCCATTAGGTGCTCACTGAAGGCTCAGGACTCCACTCCCACAGTGGCCTCCTCGAAGCCCCCTAGATGCCCCTCCTGGGTGTGCCTCTGTAATTGGCTGGGCTCTAGGCGGAAGGCCCCGCCATGTTAGCCTCTCTGGCCTCCTGCAGGTGAAAGTAACCAGAGGATGGTCACAGCAGGGCTGCTCCCAGACTCAGGCAGCCACAGGCAGGCTCAGCTCAAGACTAGGGAGACGACGCCACCTGCTCAAACAGGGCCAGGAGAGCAAGTGTCCAATCATCCAATCAGGGGCCATCTACACTCCACGGGTCTGATCCCCCTCAGTCTACACTCCACGGGTCTGATCCCCCTCAGTCTACACTCCACGGGTCTGATCCCCCTCAGTCTACACTCCACGGGTCTGATCCCCCTCAGTCTACACTCCACGGGTCTGATCCCCCTCAGTCTACACTCCACGGGTCTGATCCCCCTCAGTCTACACTCCACGGGTCTGATCCCCCTCAGTCTACACTCCACGGGTCTGATCCCCCTCAGTCTACACTCCACGGGTCTGATCCCCCTCAGTCTACACTCCACGGGTCTGATCCCCCTCAGTCTACACTCCACGGGTCTGATCCCCCTCAGTCTACACTCCACGGGTCTGATCCCCCTCAGTCTACACTCCACGGGTCTGAGCCCCCTCAGTCTACACTCCACGGGTCTGATCCCCCTCAGTCTACACTCCACGGGTCTGAGCCCCCTCAGTCTACACTCCACGGGTCTGAGCCCCCTCAGTCTACACTCCACGGGTCTGAGCCCCCTCAGTCTACACTCCACGGGTCTGATCCCCCTCAGTCTACACTCCACGGGTCTGAGCCCCCTCAGTCTACACTCCACGGGTCTGAGCCCCCTCAGTCTACACTCCACGGGTCTGAGCCCCCTCAGTCTACACTCCACGGGTCTGATCCCCCTCAGTCTACACTCCACGGGTCTGAGCCCCCTCAGTCTACACTCCACGGGTCTGAGCCCCCTCAGTCTACACTCCACGGGTCTGAGCCCCCTCAGTCTACACTCCACGGGTCTGATCCCCCTCAGTCTACACTCCACGGGTCTGAGCCCCCTCAGTCTACACTCCACGGGTCTGAGCCCCCTCAGTCTACACTCCACGGGTCTGAGCCCCCTCAGTCTACACTCCACGGGTCTGATCCCCCTCAGTCTACACTCCACGGGTCTGAGCCCCCTCAGTCTACACTCCACGGGTCTGAGCCCCCTCAGTCTACACTCCACGGGTCTGAGCCCCCTCAGTCTACACTCCACGGGTCTGATCCCCCTCAGTCTACACTCCACGGGTCTGAGCCCCCTCAGTCTACACTCCACGGGTCTGAGCCCCCTCAGTCTACACTCCACGGGTCTGAGCCCCCTCAGTCTACACTCCACGGGTCTGATCCCCCTCAGTCTACACTCCACGGGTCTGAGCCCCCTCAGTCTACACTCCACGGGTCTGAGCCCCCTCAGTCTACACTCCACGGGTCTGAGCCCCCTCAGTCTACACTCCACGGGTCTGATCCCCCTCAGTCTACACTCCACGGGTCTGAGCCCCCTCAGTCTACACTCCACGGGTCTGAGCCCCCTCAGTCTACGCCCCCCCCCCCCCCCCCCCCCCACTCCACAGGTCTGAGCCCCGCGTCTACAATCCAGGCTGGAGACACAGCGTCTTCCCCGGTGCGGGTCCTAGGAAACCGTCTCTGCCCAAACAATGCAACAACGTCTAGGCGGACCGAACCCCACCACGGCCGGCCGGCTTGCTGACGGGGTCCGGGCCGGGCTGCGGCCTTCGGGGACACGGAACCCCCGACCCG